TCCATATAAGATAAATATCCTTTTTTCTTTTTTAGATGGAATGAGAGGTGCACAATATTGGTTTATAGATATGCACTGATAACTAAGTCAATTTTTAGTAGATGGTACTGGTTTGCCTGGAAATACTAAAATAATTTTGAGGCCAGCCTCAGAAACAGTGAGACCTTGTCTCAAAAAAAAAAAAAAAAAAGTTATAGCTCAGTGGTAAAGTGCTCCTGGGTTCAATCCCAAGTACCAAAAAAAAAAAAAAAAAAAAAGTGGTATGAATGAAATCAGAACTTACATTTTTAAATGTAATCTTTGGGATTGATTTTTCTCAGTACAAGTCTCTGGAGATTGATACAGGTTGTTGTGTATATCAGTAGTTCTTTTTTTTTACTCCCAAGTAATATTTCTCTATGTGATAAACGCATAGTTTTGCTTAACTACTTACCTATTAAAGGATGTTGGGGTTGTTTCCATTTTTTGTCTGTTATGAAGAAAGCTGGTACTAACGTTCATGTATAGATTTTATTGTGAACATAGTCTTTTATTTTCCTGGAATGAATGCCCAGGAGTGCAAGGTAGTTACACATGTAGTTTTTCAAGAAATTGCCAGATGTTTTGTAGAGCAGCTATCCCATTTTATATTCCCATTAACAGTAAGTGAGACTCACCCAGTTTTCCACAAATACATTGTTTGGTGGTGTCACTGTTTTTATTCTAGTGAATGGATAGCTTTGTGGTGATGTCTTGTGTTATCTTTGTCTTTCTCTAGTGGCTAGTGATATTGAACATATCTTTATGTGTTTATTTGCTGAAATGACTCTTTGTTTTCTAATTGGGTTGGTTATATTTTTACTCTTGGGTTTTGAGACTTCTTTTTTATTCTAGATACTATTTTGTAAATATTTTGTCCAAGTCTGTAGTTTGCTTTTCACCCCCTTAACATAGAAATCTTTTGCAGGAAAAGTTTTCAAAAATTTTGATGAAATTAGATTCATTTTTTTTTTAATAGTTGCTTGTGCCTTTGGTATCTCATCTAAGAAACCAATATGTTATTCAACCATGAAAGTTATACCCATGATTTCTTTAAAGTGTTTTTTAGTTTTGAGTTCTTCCATTAGGTATTGGTCTAGTCTGGATTGATTTACATGGTGTGATGTTCAGATTCAATCTTTTACGTGTCTCATCATCTCAGCTCCTATTTATTAGTCTGTGTCCAATGAATGATCTTAGCACCTTTATAGAGAATTGGTTGACCATAGATGCATGAGTTTTTTCTGGACTCTTGAGTTTATTTCATGGTCTGTCATCATTATGAAGTGTGACCCTTCAAAAGTTGTAATTTTTGCAAATTGTTTGAGGTGTTTTTTGTTTTTGTATTTTTTTTGGTACCTAGGTTTGAACCTAGGGGCACTTAATCCCACTGAGCCACATCCTCATTCCATTTTATATTTTATTTGAAGACAGGGTCTCACTAAGTTGCTTAGGGACTTGCTAAGTTGCTGAGGCAGGCTTTGAATTTGCACTCCTCCTGCCTCAGCCTCTGAGTCACTGGGATTACATGCATATTCCAGCTGTTTTGAGTCCCTTATATTCCCAAGTGTATTTACAGTTACTTTTTTTCATTTCTTCAAAAAAAAAAAAAAGTTGGAATTTAGGTAGGGATCACATGGACTCTGCAAATTTGAGAATATTGCCATCTCAATATAGTATTTGATACTGATAATGATTTTGTATATAATAGGTCTTAATTTTTTTCAAAATTGTTTTATAATTTTCACTGTACAAGTCTTACATATCTTTGGTTAAGTTTATTCCTAAATATTCTTTTTTTTTCATTTTTTTATTTTTTTGTAGTTGTAGATGGACAGCATGCCTTTTGTTTATCTTTATGTGGTGCTGAGGATCGAACCCAGTGCCTCATGCGTGCAAGGCAAGTGTTCTGCCACTGAGCTGTAGCCCCAGCCCTAGTCCCAGTATTGTATTCTTTTTGAGGTGCTCTCCCTCTGTCCCTCCTTTGTCTCACTATGTTGCCCAAACAGGTTCATAAATTCCTGGGCTCAAGTGATCTTCTTGTCTCAGTCTCCTGAGTAGCTGAGATTACAAACATATACCAATGTGCCTGGCTTGCTTTCTTAATTTTATTGTCAAATGTTTCTAGCTAGTATATAGAAATATAATCAATTTTTGTATATTGAGCTTATACCTCAACTTTGCTGACTTCATTTATTATCTCATTTCCCCCTTACACTTATTTTTTGAAAGAGTTTGTCTAGAATTTGTGTTAATGGTATAATTGTTAAAATCCATGTCTGCAGATTTCTTTTTCAAGAGTTTATAAATCACAGACTTAATATAATCATAGTTCTATGGTTAGTCAAATGATGTATTTCATGTTAGGTTTGTTTTGGTAGGTTTTGTTTTTATAGAATTGATCAATTTCATTCAGCTTATCAAATCTGTCTACAAAGTTGTTCCTGTTATTTATTTATTTAGTTTTGGGTATTGGGAATTGAATTCAGGGGAGTTCTACCACTGAGCTACATCCCAGCCTTTTTTATTTTTCATTTCTGAGACAGGGAGAGTCTCACTAAGTTGCCAGGCTGGTCTTGAACTTGAGATCCTCTTGCTTCAGTCTCTCAAGGAGCTGGGATTATAGGTTTGCACCACTATATCTGGCCCTGGTATTTTTACTGTCCTTTTAATTTCTGCAGGGTGTGCAGTGATCTAACCTGTTTCATTCCTAATATTATTAATTTGTGTAATTTTTTTCCCCAATTGAGCATTGCTAATTTCATTGATCTTTCAAAAAGCTGGCTCTGTTTTGCTGATTTTCTGTTTTTTTTTTTTAATCTGATTTTTTTCAGCCCTTTTTTCTTTTCTTCACCTTGCTTTATTTTATTTTTTTTTTTACATTTTTCAGGTGGTGACCTACATTATTAATTTTAAACTTTCCATCAAAAAATCACACCCACTTTGTACTATGTATCTTTTAACAGTGGTTTCACTGTGTCCCACAAATTTCAATTTCATTTAAATTATCTTTCTTGTATTTTCAAAAATTATCTCAAGTCTTACTCTTTGATCATGGATTATTTAGAAATGTCTCAGAAGATCTGGGGCTGTAGCTTAGTGGTAGAGCGCTTGCCTAGCATGTGTGAGTCACTGAGTTTGATCTTAGTATCACATAACAATAAATAAATAAAGGCATTATGTCCATCTACAACAACAAAAGGAAATGTCTGAGAAATTTTCCTGTTATGTCTTGTTGATTCTAGTTTTCCACTGTGTAAGAGAACACAGGTGATTTAGATTCTGTTAAATTCTGTTGGTATAGTTAGATCATTTACATTTCATGCAGCTGTTGCCTCTTTTGATGTTAGGATTTAAATCTATTTTGTTTTTGCTGTTTTTCTTTTTTTGCTTTCTTTTGGGTTACTTAAACAATTTTAGAATTCTGTTTTATCTACAATGTTTTTAAATGTRTTTTTTAAAAATTACCATTAATTTTATATTTTGTAAAAGACAAGCTTACATAAAGATTTCTAAAATAAATTCTGAGCACTAAAATATGTACTTTTATGAAATATAGAATTAAAACAAAAAGAACTTTCACTTTACTGAAAAAAGGATAATAAACTGTCATCATTAAGAAAAGCAGTTCATAAGGGAGAGTATTGAGCTAGAAACTTGAAATAAATATTAAGAAATGTCAAGTCTGGTTTAACAGTGGAAAGAGAAAATAACAGATTTTTCTACATAAGAAGTCTATGATTTGGGGATTTCAAAATGTGCATTTCACATGTTACAAGAAGCAAGGACCTTTGTTCCTCATTAAATCATATTTAAGTACATTTGTTAAAAATATAAAAAATTAAAATGTAGGTTATAAGGTGACAGAAAATAGAAAAATTAATTATTAAATAAAGATAACACAATTGGAAAAAAAAAAAAACGATAAGCAGTTCAGTTCTGATCTGCACAGAAAATGCACAGTGGTTCCAAATTGTGAATCAGTATGCTGTCTTATCTTAAATTGAATGTATACTTTTTTTTTTTTTTAAAGAGAGAGAATTTTAATATTTATTTTTTAGTTTTCGGCAGACACAACATCTTTGTATGTGGTGCTGAGGATCGAACCCGGGCCTCATGCATGCCAGGCGAGCTTGCTACCGCTTGAGCCACATCCCCAGCCCTGAATGTATTCTTGTATAGCTTTTTTAGTGGTTATTCTTGGTTGGTATTTGCTCTAAAAAAGGATTAGGTGACCTAATTGCCATTTTTTTGGTTGTGGGATCCCTTGAATTCTAGCCACTCTGTCTTATAGTTCAAGAACTTATAGTTTTATAAGTTCCCATTATATGTGTTATATATAACACATTATATGTGTTTCATTATATGTCTTAGTTTCCATTATAGTTTTCAAGAACTTTGTTAACTAGGCCTGGATAGATTAATTTCTTTCATACACTAAAATGAGTCGAGGCAGTGAGTTCCCACTAAAGCACCTTGCTTATATAGTAATCATAACTCTTTTAGCATAGGTAAATTTTTGATCAGTAAATATTTAAGTTAATCTGAACTAAAGTGGAAGGTAGCCATGGCTTAGTAGACTTCATCTAAGTTGCAGTAATTTGAATTTGTTTGTGTGTTTTCAGGTAGTTCTCTACCCCCTCCCTCTCCATATGGTTTGATAGTATTTTGGGGGAAATTACAGAATTGGGTTTTCCTTTTCTACCCTAGAACAGTGTTTAAGTACACTGCTAGATTTACTGGAATGTTCTAGCATTAGTGGCTAACCACTGGTCAGAAATTCAGGGAGTCTGTTATTGTATTTTAACAAGATTATATATTGTTAACAACAGGACCTCTGGCTTTAACAGCTGTATATTAACTGTAGTTATATTAGTAGTTTGTAAGGTAAACCATCATTTTGTCTTAGTGAACACTGAACAAGAGTTTAAGCTTTTATTTCCAAATGATTTTATCTGAAACATTTTTTTTCCACCTTCAGGGTGACAAGAAGAGTAGTCCTCATAAAGAAGTTAAATATGAACCCTTTTCATTTGCGGATGGTAAGTGAAATTTCATTTTAATTGTGTGTATTTATGTTTTAAGGTAAAATTATTTGTCTTGCCATATGTGTTCAATTTTTTTAAGCCAGGTTTCTTAAAGAATAATTTGCCTTCATATGACAGTAAAATCACTTTTTTAGTGTATACTTGTGGGTGATACACTTTTTAAAACATCACTAATGAAGTCTCAACTCTGGACAGTGACATTTACTGGGTTCTAATAAAGTAGTACTTCTTTAATCTGAACTTGAGTTATTGTTGAATTATTATAACCTTGCTTGAGAAAAGCACATGTCTGTTCATTGTTTGATAATACTGGATTCATCTCTCTTTAGATATTGGCTCCAATAATTGTGGATACTATGACTTACAAGCAGTGCTAACGCATCAGGGAAGGTCTAGTTCTTCAGGTCATTATGTGTCATGGGTGAAAAGGAAACAAGGTAAAAAGTCTATTGTTTCTTCAACTGTTGAATACTACTTTGCTTATTATAAGTTTTATAGCACTGTGGGGTTCTCTTTTGGTTTTTTTTTTTTTTTTTTTTTTAGTCTTTTTTTACATTTGTAACTGTAGAAGCCCTGGACTTTTGTTTATGAGGTTTTACCTATTCATATTTTCAACATTAGCAATTAAAGCTGAGAAATTTAAAATTGACAGTAATAAACCCACTTCATATTAATAGAAATAACGTTGTAATACCGACATTTTCCAAAACAAAGAAATGTTATTTATAGTTTTTGTCTGTCTGCTGTCTTAATAGAAGWCACTGGATTCTCACCTAGTTCTACATTCAGTCTTCTCTTGCACTATCACACATCATGTGGCCTCTGGAAACTCCAAAGTACACTTGAGAGAATGAGGATGGAAAAGGGAAATAATGCATTAGTGGTAGTATTAAAAKAGTTGTGACATCATGGAATCCCTCAAGTAGTCTTGATCCTGGGTGGTCCCTGGACACTTGAGGGAGGTGTTGGCAGGCGGGGAGAGTACTGCTATGCATCAGGTTGGTACTATTTTTGCAGTGGGATGCTGAAGAGAATTGGGTATGATACTATTTTTCTTTTTCTTGTTATTTAGATGAATGGATTAAATTTGATGATGATAAAGTCAGCATTGTAACACCAGAAGATATCTTGCGGCTTTCTGGTGGTGGAGACTGGCATATTGCTTATGTTTTACTCTACGGGCCTCGCAGAGTTGAAATAATGGAAGARGAAAGTGAACAGTAATCTTCAGTTTAGCTATTTATGCCTAGGTGTGAAATAAATGTTTTTTGTTGATCATTTCTATAATCCAGAGCTTTAGCAGAAGACATTTAGGTGGTTTTATCTGTTCCCCCTTCATGTGGAAYAAGAGGGGGCAGAAACAGACCACTTGTGCATCAACCTAAAATTACAGAAAAGAAAATTACCCTTGGATTGTGCTGCCCTGTGTAAAGGTGGCTGGAAGACATTCTTTAAAAGTTATTTCTTGCATTAATTAAAAAAAAAATTATTAGTTGAAATGCCTTTCACCCATTACCTCCTGCAGTTTTTCTTCTTGCTCTCTCAGCCCAAGATTGAACAATTTATTGCACACCCATTACCTATTCTTTGTTGTTCTTGCATGGTTCATATCGCCATTCAGTAGCTGCCCATCCTTTGCCTTATCTAACAAACATTTTTCCAGGAAGGTGGAAAAGGAAGTGTTGCTCTCATTGTGTAACTCAGTGCTGCTGTCCACGTCCCATGGAAACATGGGTGCAATCAAGTATTGTCCAGCCTGACTGTTGCTGGCTTTTCATAACTTTAAAATAAATTGTGATCAATAATAGTACATTTGATTATACATTTATTATTGTGTCTCTCTCTGATGTACTATGGTTTGTACATTTAACTTTGCAATGGTTTTGTAGTAATCAACCTTAAAAAAAATGTTGACAAGCTCTGGTTGCTTATTTTTAGAAAATGAGGATATTTAATAAAAAAAAAAAGGAGGGATTAACAGCTTTTGACCTCAAGTCTTTTGTCCTTTGAGTATTGGGAGTTTGGCTGAAGATTCAAATGTTTAATAATATATAATTTCTGAAAATGGTTAATATTCCTGTGCTRTTAAGCATCCATTTAAAGTACTTTTCTTGGGCTGAGGATGTAGCTTAGTGGTAGAACACTTGTCTAGCATGTGCTACCCCAAACCAAATAAGACTTTGCCCATATTCCCTTTAAAAAGCAATACAAAGTTATAAGAGTAATGGAATTCTTTGCATGCTGAATGCAATGATGTTACCAGATTCATTCCTTGGCTCATTGGTATTTGTTTTTAACTCTCATTAATTCCCAAAGTCTTAATGTCCTTCTTGAAATTTAACATTAGTGATTTTTTAAGTTAATGGAAGAAAACACCAAGAGTATGGGGTATTTGAAGATCAGTTTCTTAAATTTTAATAGTTTAATTAGTTTCAGGAATCTTGATTGACTGCTAAGGAAATGATAAAGGATAGAATATGAACATAATCGTCTGATTTTGAGTCAGATATTTATAATAAAGTTTGAGGATTATCATGATCTCTCATTTTTTGCCTATGTTGTTTTAATGCTCTGCAGGGCAGAACATTGGTAACCATTAAGGTTCCTAGAGCATAATGGCCATTTTTCTCAAATCTGAGCAATGTGATGTAACCTAATACTAGGGTACAAAATAAGCATTTCAGGGATACTTATTTGTAGTTTCCTCACCTAACTTCTTGACTATTGGCAATCAATACCTTCTATTTTGGCTGGGGGAGGGGTGGTGAAGAATAAGGGTGAGGATCTTAAGAATTGTTATGTTGTATGATGCCTGTGACTTTGAAGTTTTTTTTTAAATTCACTGTCGCATTTGGTCAGAACAAATTTGGAAAGAATAAATTTAATGGTTATAATTAAAATTTCTCACCTGTTGGATACTGAAACTACTAGACCAGGTGAGGTAGATTTACCTTGTATAGATAGTTTTTAAAATTCTAATACATTCTATGTCCTTGTTATTATAAAAAGCTTGATTGCATTTTATTTGATCTAAAAAAGCATAATTCCAAAAGTATTCTTTAAGTAGGAATTGAATTCATACCAATGTTGATTTGTTTTAACTAGTAAGACTATTTTAGAATTCTGCCTTGCACATAAGGGAGAGTGTGGAAAAAATTATCTTGTTTCTTGAATGTGCCTTATTTTCTATGCCACTGTAACACGGAGGCCATTTCACTATTAGAGCTGTGCTTGAATAGCTAATGGAGGCTCAAGTAATAGCATTTCCAGGAGTCTGCGCTCAGTAGCCCTTCTTTAGAATCAACAGTGATGACCTGATCTTGGAGCCCTCAAGAGATGCTTATGTGGGAATAGTAAAAACAGATGTAGTAAAAACATCTTTAGCCATTACTACCTAGTGCTTTCACATACATCTCATTTGAACTCACAGTAATCCTTCAGATAATATAAAGACTTAAGAGGTCAAATGATTTTTGTAAGGGCAAAAGAGTAAAGTTTTAGACTTCATTTATTTTAAAGTTGGGGGCTTGCAAGCATTTTCTCTAATAGGTCAGATAGTAAATACTATAGGCTTTGCAGGCCAGAAGCTGTCTGTTGCAACTACTATGCTGTTGTAGTGTGACAAGTGCCACAGACACTAGAAGTGAGCATGGCTGGACACCAATAAAATTCCAGTTATAACGCTTAGTGAGCAGACCATTGTTTGCTGATCCTCTGCTTTAAAATAAATATGATAAATGAAAATAAGGAGGGTCTTGAAATTGTCATCCTGGGATTTTAGAATAACTAAATTTTATAACTACTAGCATGCAGGAAACTAATTTCACTTCATTATATTTACCCTAACAAAAAAGAGTTTGTGATCCAGAATTCTGTCCATTTTCCCATCCCTCCCTTCCATCCTTCCCATCCTTCCCCTCACTTCAAGCCCTGAGCCAATGTGTGTGCTATTGATATTGGAGCACCAGCCAACTGTACAACAACTGTTATAAAAATGTTTATTGTTTACCAAAAACAGTGGACCTCTTATCAAATGCTGCTTGGTAACAAAATCTTATCACAGTTTTAATAAAAAAGAAAAGAAAAGAAGAAAGAAGCTAACTATTTGTCTCATTGTCATTAGTTAGACTTTCGGCAAGGTCACTTAATCCAGACTTGTTCAATGCATTAATCAGGTTATCAGGTGTTGCATGTATTCCCTCTTGATCTTGCCAGGCAACCAGGAGCTGCTTAGCTCTCATCTTCATGTCTTCACTGTCACACTCAATCTGCCTAATTTCTGAGTCTTTCATTTCCAAGTAGGGAGCCAGAATCTTCCATTGCTCACCCAGCTTATTGGCAAATACCTCTATTTGTTCTCCTGTTACAGGTTTATCTCGCCGAACATCAGGACCTAGAAAACACAGAAAATATAAACTATGTACAAAGTACAATGACATGTGCAATACTAAATATATAAAAGAACTGGAAAGCTCAGGGGTCACTGAGTTATTACCTTTAGTAAGCTTTACTTTAAAATGATAATTTTTAAATTTTTTCCATGGGTTGAATACCCATTACAATCATGATCATTTGATCAATAATCAAATCTGAAGCTGTTACCTCTATTGTAATGATGACTTTCTTTGAAATAACTGCTGCTCTCCTTCAGTTCTTAAGGAGGTATGGTTTTGCTTGAAATGTAAGTATTTTGCCTTAAAATGTTAAGAATCTTCTGTCCCTTAAAAAATCACTTCCAAAACTTATTGCATAAAATTATTTTAAAGTAAGTGATATTTTAAATTCCTTACTAAAGTCAGAAGCAGAGCTAACTTTGTAAAAGTTGAGAAGTAGATCAAATCAAATAACGTACCTCTCAACCAAGAACCCCAATCTTTTCCAATTTTGTAAAATTAGCCAAGAAAATTCAATTCTTACTTTCATTTTCCTTCAGTAAAGCATCATTATCTTCCTCATCTTCATCCTCACCTGTTTTTATTTCTTCAGAAGGTGGCTAAAAATGAGAAAGAAGAACATTTAAAAGAATGCCAACTTCTGAAGTAAGTACAGATGCTTTGGGTAAAAGTGGTTGTGAGAATTAAGAATACTGGGCTTCAAAGCCTTCCTCCTGAGAAAGCATTAAATGTGAATGTCAGGTAAGTTCAGTGGGACATTCCTCACCTGCAGAAGGAGTGAACTCAGGCAAAAACCTAATAGTTGGAAAAGGGATCCCCTAACCCCCGTTTTCAATGTGGGCAGAAGGGAAGTGGTGCAAAGCATGGTAAGCTGATCTGAAAATACCTGAGGTTTAGTAAGTGTGGAGCAACAACTGTCCTTGACATTGAGTAATTTTATTAAATTATAGGCACACAGTATCATTATTACTGTATTTATTGTAATAATCCATTAGAAAACTATATAGAAAAGAGAACAGATCAGAAAGATAGGCCAAGTTATTTATTTATTTGGTATTGGGGATTAAACTCAGGGGCACCTGACCACTGAGCCGTAATCCCCCAGCCCTGTTTTGTATTTTATTTAGAGACAGGGTCTCACTGAGTTTCTCAGCACCTTGCCATTGTTGAGGCTGGCTTTGAACTCAGATCCTCCTGTCTCCGTCTCCCGAGCTGCATGTGCCACCACACCTGGCAAGGCTAAGTTCTAAGTTCCCTACTGCTACTCCCTGGATCCTGTCTTTGATAAAAGAGAATAGGCTGGAAAACAGGAGAAATTCATATCTGAGTTTACAGTTGAATAAAGTTTATCCAAAGTATTAAGAAATTGCTTTAAATTACATGCTGCACAGAAAATTATGAGTTTATGTATTTCCAGTAAACATGTATACTCTTGCATTTTTATTTCATTCTAAATTAAATAGTTTGTGGATCAAAATTTTTATCATATGATAAATTTAGTTCTTTGCTCAAATAGAGAGTTTTAAAAGAAGATAATGTCAACTAAGAGGTATGCAAAGAAAATGATCCATGTTACTTACTGGTAATTCCTTGGCTAGCTTTATTACCATGTTTTCAAGATATTCTGGCAAACTTTTAAACTGCTGATTGGTTGGCTGGAAAAAGTGAGGGCTTCTCCGTGCTAGTAGTCTCAGGGCTCTCCAACCATAATTCGAATTATTCACAGCTCTATAAAAAGAGATGTCATTTCTATAATTTATAGCTTTTTTATTTCTGTATTCCCTTCTACTTAACTCTTAAGTAATGCTCAAAGTATCATTCTTTTCATTCTAAAGGACCTCTTAGTGTACATTACACATATAAATAACAAACTAACAATCTGGAGAGGCAGGCTCATGGGCAACAAACAGATTTTCAAAGTTTACATACATTTTACTTTTTAAAAAGAAGTCTGAGTGACTTGTTGGGTACCCAATACTGGCTAGGTTATGGGTTGGACAGGACAGGAATTATCCCTAAGTTATTTGGAAAAAAAGTAAATTTATAATAGGTAAAGTCACCTACAGATGCAAGTTTAGAATATTTTCTAAAATCAACACTGAGTTTTGATGTTGATTTAGCTAATACAGGTTGAAACGCCCCAAATCTGAAAATTTTCAAGTGCCTCAAAAGATTAAACTGGTAAAGTGTATTCCAATTTTGAAAAACTCTGAAACCTGAAGCACTACTAGAAGGTCTCAAATGTTTTGGATAAAGGATACTCGAGCTAGATTTGTTTTTTTTTAATTTATGTAACAACTAAACTTCTAATTCACATATTGCCCACCTCAATAAATAAAAATGGCTCAAAATACTAAAAAAGAGAAATAACCAGTAGCTAACAAAATAAGTAATGACATAAAAATCATGAACCGCTTCCCAATGAATCAGCAAGAAGTGGTTCACAATGAGGTAAGAAACAGAAACCTCTAAGAAATTCTAAAGTAAATGCTCCAGAAATGGGCAAAGCTACTGAAAAATCGAAAGCACAAATTCCCTTTGAGTTTTTGGAAGTCTTCCCTCCCCCATCTCCTAACTTCACAGATTAGCAATCTGGTTATTTGGTCATCTTTTATGAATGAACCTTTGGGATGTTCTTATCACTGAAGACTGGCAAAACTACCCCTAGATGGTGCACTCTTCCCAGGTTAACACCAATTATGCTTTGCCTTCCTCTGACACACCTGTTAAGCCATTTGATTCTTTTAAGTACTTTCAAAATTCCTTGTGAATTATACACAAAAGTTTCATTTTTTTCTCCACAATCTAACCATTCAAGTTCTTAAGTCAATCCTAGAGAACTACCTGCCACTTTAAGAATGAATATGCTTCATCCTATATAAATAGATATTCTTTTTTAAAAAATTTTTTTAGTTATTGATAGACCTTTATTTATTTATTAATTTATATGTGGTGCTAAGAATCAAACCCAGTGCCTCACACATGCTAGGCAAGCACTCTACCTCTGAGCCACAACCTCAGCCCTTAAATTAATATTCTTTTAATCAACAAATCCTTATTGAGCCAGGTACTCAGGAGCTGTGGAGACAGGTCATTTGTGTGTATCCTGAGTACTTGGGCAGAATAACACTGTAGAGAAGAGCAGGACCTGGATACCAGAATGACTTCCTTGGTTCTGCCTTTCACTAGCTGAGAACTTCAATAAAAAAATTTACCTTCAGAGCCTTAGGCAGTTACTTAGCACCTGCACACAGAAATGTGGGATGTGTTGGCAAGCATATTATTCATAAACACATAAAGTATAGGACAATTTTAGATAGAGATGAGGATGGGAAACAAAGAGGAGAAGGAGAATTTTGGAGAGTGGTTTAAGTGCTGTGAACTTAACATGGGAATGCCAACAGGGACACTGTTAAGGAGGTGTACCTCTGTGAGCTGCTGTTGAGGAAAAGAGGTTCAAGCAAACAAGATGGTAGGTATATGCAAAGTCCAAAGGGAAAGACCTTAGAGGTGAAGAAGAGACAGGGCTGGTGTGGTTAAAAGCAGAGGAAAAAAGGAACAAAGATACAGTTGGAGAGGCAGGTATGAGGCAGATCAAGGAGGCCTAAAGGCCAGGAAAGGAGTTTGGTTAAGATCTTAAACATGAGATTGAAGTGGTGAACTTATTTAAAAGATCACTGATGCATGGAGAACTCACTACAAACCAGTTAAGTGGTCATAGTAACTAAAAAAATTATCACAAGGTCACAGCAGTTATGAATTTTGAGTGCTAAGTACATGCCATACATGGTTCAAAGTGAAAATATAATCCTAAGAATAAACCTGTGAAATGAGGACTATTACTACTTAACTGAAAGGAGGATAAAGGTTATTAAATTTACCTCAAGTTGTCTAAGCAGCCAGGGACAGAGGGGATGGGAACCTACACATTCTGACAAGAGGGCCCTGGCCCTTAAATCACAACTCTACAACACTCAGACCATGTGGACCCGAAGTTATTCCAATGGAAAAAGAGCCAGCAATGGAGACTGAGGTGGAGGGGCAGTGAGATAAAAGTAGCAGACTGGTTTCCTGGATGCCCCAAGACGGAAACAGCTGAGGCAGGTCTAATGGCAGCTGCTGCTGAGAGAGCAAACAGAGAAGAGGTGACCCTGATGGGAGTATTTCAGTGGTGTGACTGGGAAGACAGCCCTGTTGGAGTGACCAGAGAACAGGCGGTGAGGCAGTGAAGGCAAGAATTACATCAGCTGCTGGAACAGAGATGGCAGCTGGAGGGACACATGGGATTGGGCTAGATTTCTAATATTTTGTAACAAGGGTGGTTCCAAATCATGTTTGATGGTCAACAGGAATAATCCTTGGCTGGAGGTACAGCCCAGTGGTAGAGCATTTGCCTGTGAGGCTCTGGGTTCAATCCCCAGGACCCCCCACAGAACAATCCTTAAAATAAGGATGAGTAGTCATGTGAAACTGGCACATTAATTCACCTAACAGAGAAAGTGTTACTCTATAGATTAATAAAGCTTCTAAGAAAAAAATTTATAGGAAATTAAAATTAGCTGATGAGAATCATTACTTACTTATATTCATTTTCAACCATATTTTCAGGGTCTGCTTGTTCAATGGCTTCTTCAAAGAACTCCTCCAAAGTTGGCATGTATTCCCTGG